CCCCAAAACCCCAAAACCCCAAAACCCCATCAATATTAAAATGTGATATAAGAGCATATATTAAATTATCAAATTAAGAAAAAGGAATAATTTTTCATTATATAATTTACAAAAAGTTCAAATTGATCTTTTTATGGAGAGACAAATAAAAGATCTTCACCTGCGACTTCCCTCTTCAAGACTGAGTTCCAGAGAAAACACTTCTCGCACTCACCGAAAAACAGTCAGATTCATAGTCAAAGGCAATACCCCAGAAGTAGGGTCGCCACTTCCTAAGGACAAGGATCAGAGCTATATAAACTTTACAGATGAAGATGAAGACAAGCAGATACTTAAGGATTTGACCTAGAAGTCCAAAGATCACTCTAAATAGTCGTAAAGTCAAAGGAATAGTTTATTTAAAACAAACTAAAACCATGTCACTAAGGAGCAGCATTTGAAAGTGAATGGTATTACGAGATCTGCTTCTTAAATATTTAAGTTTGAAGACTAAAATCTAAGTAGAAAGCACGCACTTAGAAATCAAGCGATTATAAAGTAAAAGCTAAGAAATATAGAAGACAAAGACTAAATAACTGACTATGATGAAGAAGTTAAAAATAATCTGCTGGATAGAGATCTAGTCACTAGACTAGATACATTTGAGATGAAAGTGGCTCCAACTGCATTACATATATTTGCAGAGAATCTCAGTGGCCGCTTGAAGAGCATGGCATTTTCTTAAACCAATTAATCAAGAGTTCCCTTTTCAAAGCAACTGAAGATTCTGAGTGACACAAAATCAACCTAGTCCAATACTACTTCCTAAAGCAGGCCTTAGACTTCAAAGTTTTCAGTTTCAAAGGAGGCTACGCAAGTATCACTGAACCTAAATAACCTGAACTCAATAATGAAGGACAATTAGAAAACAGCTATTGAGTAAATGTTCGAGAGTAAGGAGAACACAAGCAAGTTCTAAAATGAATAACATGCAATGCAGAAATCAGTTAAGGAAATAGAAAAGTATCTTTCAATGCAAAAGGGCGATCTTTACTCAGAAGAGGCTAGAAATCAGGTCACCAAGTACAAAATCTACAGACCAAAGACTGCCATCAAGGAAAAGAGAGAGGAATTGATATAGAAGGTTAAGACTACAAGCTAGATAGCAAACGAAAAGTAGTTTGAAGTGAGAATACAAAAAGAAATGCCAATCAATCTCGAAAAAGATGAAGTCGTTGCTACTTAAATGGATTTGTATGTGCCCCTGATGTTAAATTAAAACATCTAGAAAGCTAGACTTTAGAGACAGAAAGAAAGAATGATGGAATAGCTATCTTCTAAACTTACTAAGATTGAGGGATTTGTAGATGAAACTTTTAAGCTGAGCAATATCAATGAACGAATAAGAGTGGAAACAGAGTTACTGAATGAATTTAAATCCCTAAAAGTAAAAATAGATGAACTTAGATTACAAAGAACATCAATTTTTGCAGAAAATACTAATCTACATAACTAACTTTAGCAAATGCGACAGCAGTACAGAGTATAGGATGAAGAAATAAGACGTATGTAGCTTTGTACTCGAACTAATTTCGAAAGCAAAATGAAAAATATGGATAAGAACAATATGATGAAGGATCTAATAAAGCTCTCATCAGAAAAAGAATAGATGGAGAAAATGAAAGATGAGAGAAGGAAAAAGGAGATGGCTATACATAAGGCAAGAGACAAGAACAATGAGCGTATTTACTATGTAGATCAAGAGATTGAAGTCATTAAGACTCAGCTATAGTTTATACTAAATGTGCAGAAGGAGTACTATTTAAGGTTGCTGAGGGAGGGTTAAGATACTAGACAAAAAGGTTTGGTTTGGATAATACAATGTCTGCAGTGTGAATTGGAAGTGCCTGTTATATTTAAAGATTAAATGCCAAATATTCTAGATGAAAGGAGCAAGCAGTTTATAATAGACTTAGCTAAAAAGGATTACAAATTGGTTATTCAACAAAAATAACTATAAGAAATGAAACTGAATCAAAAGTAAGAGTTGATAAGTGATTCAAGGAAGACTCTAGCTCGAGGTGAGATTAACTTTGAATTAACTCATCACAAAAATATGAATGTAAATGGATATTACTTTACTGAGAACGGCTTTGAGCCAATTCGCAATGGTGAGAAGTTTCAAGAGATTATGAACCTCAAGAACAATACTATCAAACAAATATAATCAGCTAGAAATGAATACCAAAGAGGCTACTCAGCTAGACCTTAGAAGACTATAACTCAAATCGTAAATGAATCAAATGCAATGCACTCTAAAATGTTTGGCTTTGACACTCTCTTTACAAAAAATACTAAAAAGTTGATCTTCAATAAGCTTATGGGGTAAGGATAGCATAACAAGTCCTAAAAGAATGGTCTCACATTTAAAAATGGCATGTACTTGATGAAGTCTGAGCAAATGCAAATATAAGTGGATGCTTAGCAAAGGGTAATAGATTAGTTTGAAAGGGACATCAATGAAGTTAAGATGAGTGAGATACGCCGGCTTGCAAGAGACTATCTGAATAACTACAGTGAGTTGAAGAAAAATGTGAAGAATCCATAAGATTTAAGAATGCTGATATTGTGTTTATTCGGCGACACCTCTTGGGAAGTAGAATTTAACAAGCAGGTTAAGTTGCAATAGGAGTATAAACACAAGAATTCTATGCTTGATAATGCTAGTATTGGAGTAAATTCAATGAATATTATAGGTGATGCAAGTGCTTGTTCAAATGCTGCTGTTGTTAAATGATTAATAAGTAGTAAATTATGAAATTAATCTTAGTCAATAATAAATCAATCTTTAATCTTAAATCATCAATAATCTCAAATTTTGATATTCTCTGCCATAAAAGCGTACTTCCCGTTGAGCTTAGATATTTTCTCACTAACTTCAACTCTGTCATAGCCATCTGCTCTGAGGTAATGCCCCATTCCTTGGTCAATCTTGCCATAAATAAAGGTATGCTTCTCATATCTAAAGTCTCGAAGAGCATCCTTCTTTTGGCCTAGTTCAATAACAGTCATGCACTTCTACTCTATTTTCTCTTGTATATTATTCATTTTCTTGGTTTCTCTAGCATGCCCTTATTTGAGCACCCTGATCTATGCCTTAATGTCTTTTCTCTCCTCCTTGCATTGTTTCCCAATCATGTTTAGTTTCATGATTATCATATCTTTTTGGTTTATTCTTGGTGAGGTAATGGTGGTTGAATAGGTCTTGTCAAAAGTATGCTAGTGTCTATTACTGAAATTCTGCCCTGCACCTGGGGGAGAGCCTTAACGCCTCTAGCTAGCAGAAGATGGAGCAAACATTCTATAGCTTGACTTGGCTCTCTAAGTTCTCATGAATCTCTCCTTGTTTGTTTTATATGAAGAGTTGAATGCTGTCTGTGGGCGAGTAGTTGCGCTTATCAACCCACCTCTTGTTTGATGAGAATCCCTAGCAGTCATTATGCGATTTTGCTAGGAATCCAAAATACTCATAGGCTTGTTATACTTTGAATTTGAGCCTCCTACTCTTGCAGATATCAATCTGCTTGAGGGTTTCAGCTGTTTTCCGTCAGGTGTGGTCTACTTATCTTGCTAAATGTTGGGATTCAAGTCTTCCTGATTGTGGATATTCAGGAATTAGATTTTCTTGACTGCATTTAAATTGGCACTGGGAGCTCTCATATTCCTAATGCTGAATTTATTAACTGCTTTCTTAAATTCTTCAGTAGTTTCTTGTGGTTTATCTTCATTGCTAATACTTTATACAAATTCCTCTACTCTCTTTTGTGGTATAATGATATCTTAGCTCATCATGCTCCTCTGATTGAACTTCATGACCTCTTCTTTTTCCTATTCCCTGTCAATCATTAACTCCTCTCCTTCATCATCATCCTACTTGATATCAAATTCTTTTTTCTGAGTACTTAGATCACTCATATTCAGGGCTTCTTCTTATTGCTTTAAGTCGTAAATGCTATCTTACTCTACAAGATCGCCTTAAGCAATTATGCCTGAGGGTCTTCTATCTATTTCGATTGGATCCTAATGAATCTTCTTTCTCTGATTCATGATATCTTTGCGTCGCATCTCTGGCATGTATCCTGCGTTTCTCTTCTTATTTAGTTCCATTTGAATGATCTTCTACTGCTTTGCTTCCTTTACCTACCGATCTAGACTTATTTTAGCTTCCATCAAAGTGTTCCTAGTGGATATGGGATGTGGCTGTTTGATACCTGAACTAGCTTCTGTAAAGAACTGCTCGAGCTGTTTACTTTTAAAGTGATCTAAGGGCATGTTCCCATCTGTCTAAATGTGATGATTCATGTCTCTGATTGCCTGAGAATGTCTCTCAATTGATAGAGGTCGGCGAGATGACTCTGCCACACTCTAAGGCCTTTTCATAAATCTCTCTGTTCCATAGTCCTCAAGTTAATGCTCAGAAGAAGGTTTCTCAAAATCCTTGTCAAAACTCTGCAATGAATTCTAACGCTTAATACCAGAATTTGACTGTTGAAGGGCACTTTTGTTAGTCTCTGAATGAGTCAACCTTCTAAGCATGTTTTATGTGTGGGCTGAATCTGACATATCTCTGCTAGCTATCTCAAATTTGCGCTCCTGAGGAAGTTTAAATCCCTACAAATCCATGTAATTAATTGAAGGGTCTGGCACATACGGTCTTAAATCTATATCTTTCATAAGCTTGGTCTTATCGAAAGGTTTCTAATCGAAAGTTGATATGCTTGCAGTTTTAAAGTTCTTTTTGTTAAATAACTCTCTAGCTGACTTCGGCTGAAACTTTTCCTCCTTTATTTTTAGTAGCTAGTTTTTAGAGATAACTACTCTTGATTCTGGGACTATGTTGGCATCATTAAGCAAAACCTCTCTGTAAAAGTTAATGTCCTTCTTATGCTAGGCTGAATAGGGATCAATTTACTTCCCTAAGTACCTATAAATATGATATACAAACAGTACTTGACTTACTTGACTGAATCATCTAGTAAATTTTGCTTCTCTTCTTTCATTTTGTTAAGATCTTTTTACTTTTTACCCTTCATTATGATTCTAATATACTTCTTGTTTTTGCTTAGTTTTTAGCCTAATTTATTCATAAAACTTTCCTTCTTGCCGGTACTTGAAAGCAACAGTGCTGTTCTGCGTTCAGACTGTGGTCTTTGTGGCATCTTAACAGTCGAATTGTTAAGACTTATTTCTTCAGCCACTGTCTCTCTTTTGAGCTTGAGATTCATAATTCGCTCTCTTTCATCCTATCTTTGATTTGGTAAGTGAATATTATGAAACAAATGCTGCCATATTTCTCTGATTTTCTTCTTCACGGGTCTTACGCCATCCTTGTATATATCTCTTACCTCAGTGATCTCACCCATTGGCTTTGGAAATGCTTTCTCAGCCTCTGCAAATTTACGCAGGATATCAAAGTAATTGTGTTTTAGATTGTATAGCAAGTCATCAGATTGCTGTATTCGTTAATCAAGAGCGTAGTGAAATAAAAGAGGGGAAACTTCAATTGATTTGTACCCGTGACATAGCATCCTTAGTTTCTCAGCTTCTGTTTTCAATAGATTAGCTATTTACTCGTCAGTCATCTGATCTATAACATAGTCATAGTGTAGCTTTTGTTGTCTAAGTTATTCAATGATTTCGTACTTCTCTCTTACCCGTTCAGACATAATTTCTTTTACAATTATTTTCTTCTTCTTTAGCTGAAATATAACTATTATTACAATAATTTAGCCAAAGTAGATTCACCCTCTAATCTCAAATTAATTAACTTTAACTTATATTTTGATTGTATATTATATTAACTTTAAAACTACAAACAAATATGAATTTAAAGAAGTTGCTTTTTGGGTTGCCGTCACTTCTATCCGTGGCTTTCACCCTATTTATCTGCTACATATTTTACTTTAACTTCATCCCCCTCCAAGTCAAAAAGGTAAGTTATAATAGTGATGATAAATTTACAATATTTATTAGCATGGACTTGCTTCTGCATGGATTTTAGGCGTGATTCATACTTTTCTCGCAATCATGACGTTATGGTCTTTATTTAAGACAATGTTGTCTGATCCTGGGTATCTTCCTGCAAGTTATTATGTAAATTAATAAGAGTAAAATTTTATCAAAAGAAAAATCCAAGGAACTACATGCAAGTTGTTCAAAAACTAAATAAGAAGCATTACGAACGCAATAATCTGATTTCTCTCCCGAGCAATGACTTGGAATCGTCCACTCAGATTAATAATGACATTAATGATCATTCCTCAGATTCAACAGACGAACTTGACCAGACTCATGGAGGTAGTTCTTAACTAGATTTTGATGAGTCTATTGAAACTGTCAACACTTCAACCTCATCTGCCAATTAGACTGTAGAGTAGAGATCTCATAGAAGCAAAATAGCACCTAAGGTAGATGAAAAGTGGCAAGATTAAGAGGACTAAATAGATTAAATGTTCAGCGAGGGCTGCAGAAGTTTTATCAGATTCAGATATTGCCACAAGTGCAAGTAAGTCAAGCCACCAAGAACACATCACTGCTCAGTTTGCAACTAATGCGTGATGCGAATGGATCATCACTGCCCATGGGTGGGAAACTGCGTAGGAGTAAATAATCACAAGTATTTCTATAACTTCCTGTTCTACTCCTTTTTGGGCACCTCTCATGCCTTTATCGCCTTATTTTGTGCCAAAAATAGCATCAATGAATTCCAAAGAGATATATTATACATGCTCGCAGGAGTTATATCACTTGCCTTCTCAATATCTATTGGAATTCTATTTGCCACTCACACCTTTATCTTAATGAAAAACTACAGTACAATAGAAATGGGTGGATTAATGCCTAAAAATCCATTTTCAAAGGGTAGCATAAGAGCTAACTTAGAATATACTCTTGGGAAGGATTGGAGATACTGGTTTATTCCAATAGAGTCTCCTCAAAGAGCCTGCGACGGTTACAATCACAGCGTCGTCCCGAGTTATTGAATTTATAAGAAAATAGTCTATCTTAATTTTGAATATGCTTATTTTACCATCTGTCCATATCAATATGGGGTTTTGGGGTTTTGGGGAGATCGGAAG